ATGTGTTTCTGATTAACCGCCCATTATGGAAGAAAAGGAAGAAAACAGATTACCCTCTTCAAAATCTACCTTCTCTGCACTAGTTCCTGAACTAGTCCCTTTAATTGTAATCCAAATCTAGCATTTATGCAAGACCAAGGTTGGGTCCTTGCTAAAAATCTGAGACGAATTTCAGAGTAAAATTCTCCGCCAAGATCAGCAAAATGTTGATTAGTTTTCCTAACTCCAAAATAATATAAAGGGAATTGATAGTTTTAATAAAACAGAAAACATCTAATGGACGCCTTATATAGTGCAATAAACTTCCAGGGAAATTCTGGGATACAAAGTTTCTGAAAGAACCCCCTGTATGAGAGGTACAGCTTGAATACAAATATGAAAGTGCAGAGTTTGTTTTAAAAAATTCCCAGACAAAAAGGTCTTCAGCTTGCATTTACGTGTCTGCTCAGCAGTCTCCGTTTACATAGCAGAGCTTAACACACATGAATTTGCAGCCTTTGTAAACAGCCCTGAAAAGTTTTAAGACACTCGTTTTCATCTTCTTTTTTTTTTTTTTTTAAAGGAATCAAATATTAGATCACATGGAGCAATCACGATCTGATGCCCGGGTTGGCAGCAAGTTATTACAAAATAAATAGTCCACCAAGCAGAATTCTAAGGCCAGCACCCGCTCTGAGGCTTGAAGTAATCTTGGACAGCCGATTCATGGTATTGGCAGTGACATTCTGCATCGATTTTGCATATTGGAAGAGTGGCCTCCATCGGTAACTGCCTCAGCCACGAGGGAAAGCAGTTTCATTCACTGTTGGCTTTCAGATGTCTTCTGGGTGGAATCCCCCTTGCAAAGGCCCATGGAGACCCAAACCTTGGCAGGTGAGATCCCCCCTCTGTCCATGACTGCAATTCTCCGAGAGCCGTCTTCACTGCAGTGCAAAAGTTCCAAGCATACAGCCTGTGCTTCACAATTTGCAGAAGAGGAGGTGGACCGTCCGATTGGCACATGTATTTGGCTAATGCCTTTCACGATTTGAATCAGAAAAACTCTACATTCCCGTCCCCTCAATGAAGGTCTGCTTATCCCATGAGTGGTCAAATGCTGCACTATCCACTTGAGAAAGAGACAGGGAGGGAGGGGGCCTCCTGCGCTACAGATGCTTGTAATCACTCAAGTCTTCCACATTTCTTCTCCAACCTGTCCTTTTCAAATTCCTTTGCAATTTTTAAGGCAATGCCATCAAGGTGAACAGACTGCATGTTGCAAATAATTGTGACGACCACGCCTTGGGGTGGGACCAGGCAGCTACCGCTGGCAGTCCCTTCTTCAGGAAGGATAAGTAGGACGCTACTTGCTCCTACCGCCGCGCCAGTGTGGAAGGTGTAGTGTCGCAGCTCTTTGCAGTGGCCATATTCCTGCTTCTTCTCTACGACGACCCAGGCCATTCCATAGGCGTAATCGCTCTCCTGGGAGGCTCTCGTGCTTGGGACTGTGGTCCACATCGTTGCTATTGTGTCAGGCTTGAGATAGCCAGGAAGAAGTCCAGCAGCCGGGTTTTTCACCCGCCCAAGCTGGTAGCTGTAAAGCATGGCATTTCCAAATTTGAGAAGGTCGCCCACAGTGGACACAAAGCCACCACCAGCCCACTTGTAAGAGTTGTCCACGTAGGGGGCGTTGACGAGATGGCCTTTTTTGTTGTGAATGTAATACCTGGAGTGAAACAAGGATGCTCGATGAATTCACAGCATGAAGTAAATAATCCATTCATATATTTGCTAGGCTAAAGCGGCTTTCTGCCATTGGATTATTTCTGATGTGTAGCGATTGACAGAATTCCCTGCCCAAATGGCAATTGGCGACTCAATAAATCATACGAAACAGAGAAGTGCTGGGCAGTTAATAAGCAGCATTCTAACGCTCTGGATCAGTGTTTCTCAACCTTGGCAACTTGAAGATGTCCGGACTTCAACTCCCAGAATTCCCCAGCCAGCATTCGCTG